GTGCTGGATCTCAGTGTACCGCATCCTGGTCTAAGCTCTTGGCTATCTACCACATGTGCTTGGTAGCAGTTCCTTTCCGGCCTTGGAATCTTATTCCAATTTGGAAAGGCCCCCTGAAATAGAGACTATCCCCAGCCTCCATCTCTTGGAGTCACGCCAGGCATGTAATGGGAAGATGGGGTCTGGGGTCACTGCTCCCTTTTTATTCTAAGGTGATTACTCTGTATGGGGGATACAGAGTGGCAGCCAGTGACTCCCAGGTTTCTGATGGAAGGGGGAGGTTTTCACTTAAATGGTTATGCACAGGTCAGGTCTTTGGAGTCCTACTGACTGGCGCATCACTGTGGCCTTATGAAACTCAATAAACAGAGGCAGTTCTCTGTAGTGTAGCAATCTTAATAACTGCACAGATATCCAGGCTACATGTCTCCAAGCCCTTGGTTTGTTCCTGATGGGTTTGCTACACAAAATAAGCTCTGTGTTTGAGGGAAGAGATTTTTTGGCAGCGTTCATTTATTCATTTATTAAGTCAACAAATCTTTATCACATATCTACAGTGTGTCTTGCACTAACCTAAGTGCCAGTAATACATACTGAACAGGATGAGTATAATCCCTGTTCTCATGTATTTAGTTGCAAGTAACAGAGAACTTTAAGCTGGTGACTTAAAAATACAGAGATTTATTTTTATCTCCTAATAAAAATTTTGGAAACAGGCAACACAAGGATGGAACAGCAGTTCAGTGATGGTGTATTATTAATCTCTTACCCATTGCTGGGACAAAATACCTGACACTCACAACTTGCAGAAGGAGAGGTTTATATGGCACACACTTTTCAGTGGATTCAGTACATGGTTAGCAGGCTCGAAGGCAGAAGCAGAATGGTGGAAGGGCTTGGCAGAGGAAAGCTCTTGTGTTATGAGAGCCATGAAGCAGAGAGAGAAGGGAGGAGCTGAGGACAAGAATATATCCTTCCAGATGGTCCTGGGATATCGCTCAGTGGCACAGTGCCTGCCTGGCAAGCATGAAGTCATGAGTTCCATTGGCGGTACCAAGAAGGGCCAGGCCGTACCTTCTAATGGCACTTCCAGGTATTGAGCTCACAAAACCTCTCCTGAGTATAGCACTTGCATGGTGCAATCACCTTCCAAAAGGCCCACTTCTGACACCTGAGAATTTTGGAGGAAATTTCAGATCTAAACCATAAGAGATGGTACCTGGGACTCAGGCTCCCTGTGGCTTTCTGGTTATGTCATTCACAAGGAGGTTTATTTTCATGATTACTAACTGGTTTCATGATTACTAATTGTATTTCCAGAATCACATCTACATTTCTAGTGGACCAAAGGGTTCTTCTTTCCAGGTCTGTCATTTTTCTCCAGGAATTCCTGTCCAAAATACTCTTGCCTCGCTGATCAGAATTATACCTTGTGGCTAGCAATGGCTTTAACCTGAACTATGCAGGGGGAATGTATAAATCAAAATGGCATTGAGTGAGTCATCCTGTAGTATCTATCATGCTGCCCGAATGAGGCTTATAGTTCACAGGAGCAGACGGATGTGCTGCAGCAAATACTTTTATTAAATAGCCATTAATTGCCATGGTCTCTGTGATGGAGAACTGCTAAAATATAAGCCTCGGACTGAGTTTCTTTTGAAGGAGACTCAGGGATGAAGATTTAAAGACAGTAATTTTACTTGAATAGTGATTTTGTGCAGGTTGAGAATGCGGAAATAAGATGGAAAAAAGAAAAGGGAAGGAAACCAATATAGGATGTGCCATTTTTAGTCTTTTAAGGATATTTATTTATGTATGAGCATGCAAAAATCACAGAGTATTTTCTGTAGAGTCATATTATTTCAGGCCATACAAGTTCTGCTAGTTCCACCCCATAAGATGCCACATTATAAAAATGTAATGTGCTCTGCAAAATTTCATCCCCATTGGTATCCTATGTTTCATCTTCTCTTTACATAAAACTTTAATTCACTCACTTTCAAATTTATGCACAGAAACACAGACATGGTGGCCCAGTCTTGTAGTCCCAGCACTGTGGCAGGCTGAGGCCGAGGAATAATAAGTTCAAACCCAGCCTGGGCAGCCTAGCGATTTAGTGAGATTTTGTTAAAAAAAAAAAAAAAAAAAAAAAAACGAGCTAGAGATGCAGCTCAGTGTAAAGGTCCTGGGTTCCATGTCCGGTGGCAGAAAGTTTTGTAAGTTTTGTGCATGGAATCAAGGAACTGGTATATGGCATACCTTGAATTCCTGATTTTGTGTTCTCATACTGCTTCAACTCTGATAAAAATCCATGGCTATGCCATGTAAAACACATGACACATAAAATTTCATAAGTTTATAAATCACTTCAAGGTTTTATTTTTGGAACTGTGAGATGAATAAATGATGTCTTAGCCAAATGAGCGAGAAGTTAATTTGATTGTCTTCTTTTTGGGATTAGAGATTTTCTCATAGGAAATATTTAATTTGCCACTTTCCCCTTTTATTTGAATGTCCTAGCTCTCTATCTGCACTGTTCCTTGGCTTATGAATCATCCTCATCATCCAAAGCAAATTATTCTTTTGAAGTTAGGCCTATAAATAAATAGTTCATGCTTATAAATAAAGTATATATACGTTATTTTATACATATTATATACTTGAATCCAAATCCATGGCTTCTCTAAGACAGGTCACTGAACTGTGGGCCCCTTCTGGGAGATGAAGGAGCACATGTCTCCTGAGGGATAAGATAGTAGGGATGATGATTTTCCAGTCCATTCATCATTTGTAGAGTGCTTTTCCTGGGGTCCTAACTCCCCAGTAACCCCAGCCTTCTCACTTGAGAAGAAAGCCCTGAGTAGAAAGCCATGAGATGCGTGGTAGGATGAGCTGAAAAATGTGGGCTGTCCCAGGGACTTGGGAGAGCATCATTCACATTTGTGCCAGCTGCTTGCGAGAGACTCTAACCCAAATCAAGGTGCTACATGAGTGCTTTCTGAAGAAGTAATTTTTTTAAGTTGAGAGGGAAGAAAAAGTGGAGATAAAGAGTGCTCCAGTCAAAGGGAACAGTCAGGATGAAGGTCCAGACCGGGAAAGAACTTCATCTATTCATGGAGCACAAAGGCTAGGGTGTGTGGACCTTGCAAGGTGAGCTTGCTTCTGAGCTGCCCAGCTGTGGGGGTGCTTTTCGTGGAAGGAACCCCGAGACTGTGCTTGGATGGAGCCTTATAGATCATGCTTGGTAGAAAAAGCCTTGCTTTTCTGATTTCAGGTGCAAGCCTCTGTTTATCTGGTAACAGTATGGGCATCACCCCTCCCTGGGTCCCCACATGATAGCAAGACCTTCTTCTAAGCTTGTGTGCAAACATAACCTTGTCGGTTTTGAGAATTCTATTTATCCTGGGGATTTTAATATAATCTTCTTGAATCGTGCCCAGTCACTCTAAAAAGAACAGAAAGTAATGTTTTTTAATGATTCCAGGGAGAGGAGGAGCACATCAAACACTGGCCAGTATCATCACACAGCCAGTCAACTGAAGAGGCCTGATAGAAACCAACAGCTCCTGAGGCAGGAGCCAAACAGAACACAGCAGGGAAGATTAATGCTCTACCACGCTAGCTAGGAATGAGATGTGATTGAAATATACGGTGAATGTTGATTGCAATAAAACACACATTGCCATTAATCCGCCTCAAATACTCTCCTTTGCTTTAAGCCTATTTATCCCATCACTCTTGCTGCTTTCTGAAGTAATTGTGGAAGACCTCTTTTGTGTATCCATGAGTTGTGATCAAAAATACAGTGAAGGCTGCAGTCAGGTACCATCCAATGGAAAGGCAGCCTTTATACCCACCTTAGTCACTGGATCTGACCCTGTGTGATTTCTGGCTCTTCCCCAGTGTTGAAATAAGTCTAATCCACTCAGGAAAATGAGGCAGCCACAACAGTACAACCAAAGACCTTCATGAAAGAGGACTTCTGGAGCAGATAGCATCAGTGTGTTTCAGGGTTTTATTTTTAGAACTGTGACATGAAATGCTCAATGAAACACTAAATGCTTGTATATTCCTCCTGTCTCTGCAACAATGCTACTTCCTCAGAGAAACCAGCTAAGAACTTCTCTGCTACTTTCCTGGCAGCATTTCAGTGGGTCTAAGCACTTTGCTTAATGATTATCTCCTCCACTTGATCAGAAAGTATCAACTTTGGGTCTTCCTATCGTGATTCCCCAAGAGTGTGTCAGAAGGGTGCCAGGATTTTGATCTCCCATGCACAAGGGGAACTTCGGGGGCACCTTAGCAACGTCCCAAGCCTGGCCATCTTCAGCATCTGGAATTCTCTTTCATTTACCACTGTGTATCACTGACGTATGAGTATTTTCTTTGATTGCCTTGTTTTGAAGAAGGCTACACCACATACAGACACAGACACTGTGTTCTTGTCTGTATTCTTAACGTTAACCTGAGTGTCAGGCATGTAGAAGGCTCAAGAGTAGCTCTTAGAAGAGCAGAAGGTTTTGCTCTGGCTCAGAAGATGGTAGAATGGAGAAGGGGACTGGTGAAGATAAAGAAGAGATGATGGTAACACTGGTGCAGAGGTGGTGACGGTGGTGCAGTGGTGATGGTGGTGTTGGCAGTGGTGGCATTGGCTATCATGGCGAAGAAAGACTTCGGCCGTGGATGGTGTAGGCTCAGAGAACCTACTCTAAGCCTACTCTAGGATTACTTTAAGGAACTTTTATAAAAAACAAATCGCCTTTTCCCTTTAGTAGCCAGCTCAGAATTACTGGAAAGTGGATTTTGGAAGCAAGGTGATTGGAAGTGGAGGGAGGGTGCCACAGCAGCATCTGCAAAGCCTGGCTGTACCGCGTCCCTCGCCCTTCCCTTTTACTCCCAGAGGTGGCGGGAAGACCGCCTCTCTCGCGCGCGCCTCGGCCCCTGGCGCCAGCTGGGCGCCGCCCTCGGTCCAGGCTGCCCCCGCACTCGGAGCTCTGTTCTCCTGCGCTGCTAGGACACGGTGCCCGGGCAAGAGCTGTGGGAGAGCGGGCTAGGACAGGCACCGGAGCGAGGCGGCGGTGTGCGGGGTGCAAGGGGAGCTGGGGAGGAGAAGGCGAGACCGCGAGAGTGCAGCAGGAAAGTGAGGAGTAGGGGTTGGCGCGGGCGGGTGGTGGAAAGGCAGCGCAGAGTTTGGGCCAGAAGATGCGAGCGGGCTAGCAGCCCGCGGGAGGAGGAGGGTTAGGCTGCGGGTGGGGAGGATCTGAAGGCGGAGGCGGGATCCCGCTGTGCGCAGGTGAGAGGGAGCAGGCAGGAGCGTCCCGGGCGCCGGGTTCGGGAGAGGAGCACGTGCGATCCAGAGCTCAGACGAGGGTGTGAGCGCGCAGCCAGGGCCGGAGGTCCAGAGGCCAGGGTTCCAGTCGGAGCTCCCTGGCGAGGCCGGGTGGGACAGGGAGAGGTACTGGCCAGTGGGGCTCGGGCAGGTGCTGGGGGCCAAGCACCTGAGGCTTGGTCCGGGCGCGGCGATGAGGGTGCACCTTGGCACGCTGGCCGGCGCGGCGGCGCTGACTGGGGCGCTCAGCTTTGTGCTCTTGGCCGCCGCCATCGGCACGGACTTCTGGTATATCATCGACACCGAGCGGCTGGAAAACCGCGGGCCGGCGGCGCAGGACCGGCCGGGGGCAACCAACAGCAGCCAGCTTGAACCTTTGAGCTCCCACTCTGGCCTCTGGCGGACATGCCGGGGTAAGGGTACACTGGGGACCGGGGCGGGGGCAGTGGCTGCAAACGCCCCCTGCGCTGGGCCCAACTCTCCTCGGACCTGTTGCTTGGTATACACTCCTCCCCAAAGCCCCAAGTCGCAGTGCAATGTTTAGGGAGGCGTGGTAGGGGTGGGGAGTGAGGGCTGAGTCTGCCAAAGCTCTTCTGGAGATGCCCAGCTGCGTTTCCACCTGCGCTAGAGCTCCCCTCACCCTAGAAGAGGGAGATAGTGAGGAACCACAGGATGGGGTTCGGAATCCCAACCCCCAGCTCACTAGTTTCCATTCATCCTTTCCAGTGAGGAGTCCTTGCACCCCGCTGATGAACCCCTTCTGGCAAGAGAACGTGACAGTCAGCGACTCAAGTCGACAACTTCTCAGTGAGTCCAGGGAGGGTGAGTGGAGGGAGGAACCGACCTTCCCCAAATGGGGCACTGGGGTGTCCTCTGACAGCAAGGAATGAGAAAGGATTGGGGATAAATAAGGCCTCTTGCTCCATCTCTAATTGTGGTTTAGGATTCATTCAAACCAACCCTGCCTGATGGTTTTCTATGTGCCAGGCGCTTGGTTTATTGGAGATTAAGACCATGGCCTCCAGAAGCTCACAGATTAACTGCGGAGAGCACAGAGGAAGCACACAGCAGCATGCAGAAGCCCGGGAATCCGGGAGCTCAGAAATCAGTTTGGGGAGCTGTGGGTAACAGAGGGGAGGTCTTATTTCATGGACCCCAGGCTGGCTTAGCAGGAATAGAAATGCAGGAAATTTTGGGGGGCTGGTTCAAGGGAGGCAGGGTGCCTTCCTCCAGGAGCCACTGCATCTGACTTATTGGTCACTGGTTGCCAAGTGCCCAGCACAATGCGTGGCACTGGGTAAAAATTCAGGACTGCACGTCAGAAAGAAAACAGGCTGAATGAACACTCGTGGAGGAGGAAAATAAATGTCCTGTTCCAGATAAGGAGCTAAGGGCTTCTCATCTCTTCATTGGACTCTTACATCCACCTTCTGAAGGTATTAGCTCCATTTTATATTCACTTTCCCAATGAGGAAACTGAGGCCCAGAGATGGATCTCAGAGAGGGTGTGGTGAGGAAATAGGACTGAGCCCCATATACCTTTAGCCATGTAGCTCCTTGGGTAGGTTACTGAGACTTAAAGACTGTAGGATAAAGATGAGTCCCTCACATGGTCCACAGGGAGAACCTTTCTGGCTCTTTTTTCCTCTGCATTTTCTTCTCCAGCTATGCTGACCTTGGAGCTGTTCCTGGAGCATGCAAAGCTTCCTCCTACCACAGGACTTTGCACGTGCTGTTCCTTCTTCCTGGGGCTCCTGGCTCCCACCCCACCAGCTTGACTTGGTTAACTCTAACTTATAGTGTAGGACATGTCACTTTTTTAAAGGGAGAATGTTAAAATCTGGCTCTCTCATTAGACTGTGAACCCTGTGAAGGCAGGAATCATGTCTGTCTTAACCTGCTAAAACCTAGTGTAAGATAGGTCATGAATGAAAGTTTTCTGAAAAAGGATGCAAGTGAATGCAGGCTGTATGATATAGCAAATATTAGATATTATGTAATATATGTACTTCGATGAATGGATCAATGTATGGATGGACGGAAGGATAGCTACAGTCCAGTTCTGTGCTAGGAAATATTTAACAACTGAATCTCCAGGAGGAAGAAAAATCCATTGCATTTTTCAAGTCTGTGGTATAGTTTTACTGTGGCTAATTTCGAGCTGTTCACATGATGACACATGGTTCACAAGATTCCTAGACTCTTAACTGGTTCCTGTGAGCTCATCTGAGTCAGGGCAGCACCCCACTGTGTACTCCCCCTGGACACCTGGACTGTGTGGGTAGTTGAGAAGGGGAGAAGGTATCATGTACTCTGTCCTCAAGCCCAGCTGTCCCATTGGGTCACATGCTTATTGCAAATCACCTCCAGAGAGAACTTTTTTCTCAGACTCTCTTTTCCTTACCTTATAGGTATTGAAACAGAGGTGCAGAGAGGTGAGGCAAAGCTTTTAGGTTTATACAGTACCTGGCAGATTTGGGATTTGAACCCTAGAAGTCTGCTTCCACTTGTTGGAATGATGCTTCATAGTATATTAGTCTAATGTGTTAAGATGAGAGGCCAGGACAGCCTTGAGGAGGAGCTCCTCGAGTGTTCTGGGTGGTTGGTGTCTTGCTGCCCTTCTCCCTCAGACAGGGACCCAGAGACCTGCATCACCCAAAGGAACAGCAGGCACAAAGCTGAAAGACAAACAGAGCCAGGTGTGCTTCAGAGGCAGAAGAAAGGCTGGCGCTCCTGAAGGCGAGGCAGAAAGTATTACTGGGCTCCCTCCCCTTTTCTAGCCTCTTCCTCTGCCAAGGGCCATGAGGATGATCAGACAAAGCCATCAGACCCAGAGGGTAAAATGCATGGCCCAGCACAGCATGCCAGCGGCAGAAGCTGGATCCTGGGCCATAGACTGAGAGAGACAGCGGCTCTTGTGATGGAAACTTCACAAGATTGGTTTTCTATCTTTCTGGGTGCTACGCTGTGGCAGCGGCATGGAAAATTAAAACCAGCCCTCCCACGATGCCTGGTGCAAATTGAGAGTGGAGCTGACAGAAGGAGAGAAGGGGCTGGGGACCCAGGAGGCTGCCTGGGCCCAGGCGGAGGTCCCCGCGTGATTTATGCACATCAGTGCTGTGGGCAAGGAGGCCAGGGAGAGGGAGGGATACAAGACATGATGGCCAAGGATTAGGTTGCCACTGAAAGTCAAGGCCACATTTTGAAATAAAACATTTATGTTCAAAGTAAATCTATTTCTGGCATCGTCCATGTGGTGCTTCTTAGAAAAGGTCTAGCATGTCATTTTTGAAATAGTAAAAAGAAAATCAAGATACAGGCTGAGTGCCCATGGACAGGGAAATAGATGTATGTGTCTATTTATTTTAAGGGTAGCCTGTAAGAACAATATACCTAATGTGAATGGAACACCTAGCTGTACTGTGGAATGAAGCAAATAAATTACAGTGTAATGGGAAATTTGATGGCGTTTGTTATAGCTCCCAAGTTGTGTTAGTCAGCTTCCCACTACTGTAATAAATACTGGAGATAATTAACTTATAAAGAGAGAAAGTTGTAGGCATAGTGGTATGTGTCTGTAATGGTGGGGGATGTAGCTAGCGTGAGGCTCTTCGGGGGTGGGGGAGGATAGGGGTGGAGAAAAAAGGGAGAGAGACAGAGAGAGAAGGAGAGAGAGAGAGACAGAGAGAGAGAGACAGAGAGAGAGACAGAGAGAGAGAGACAGAGAGAGAGAGAGAGAGAGAGAGAGAGAGAGAGAGAGAGAGAGAGAGAGAAAGAGAGGAGATTGAGAGGAGATTGAAGATTCAAGTCCATGACTGCTTTGGGTCTATGGTGGGATATCATGGGGGGAATGTGTCATGGGGCAAAATTGTGTATTGATTGGGAGCAGGATGTAGACTAACCAAGGTCCCCCAGTCTCCTTGGAGAACCCCCAATGACATGAGACCTCCCACTGAATGCCATCTGGTAATGTCACCACCACTTTCAAAGAGTGCCAAACTGTGGACCATGCCTGCAACATGAGTCTCTGGGTGACTGGTAGGATCCAAATTATTAGTATCAATATTTTGCCTTTCTTATGGGGATAAAACAAACACTGAAGATGCAGGTTTATTTTATGTGCTATTAATGCAAAAGAAATGCTTCCAAATGCCAGTGAGATGCTGTGGATGCCTCAACACGACACCATTTTTGGATACGCTGAAGTGTGGTCAGGTGTGCCCTGTACAGCTGGAGAGATATATGAATATATTATAGACGATACATACATTTGTGGGGAAAAACCTGGGAGATGTGTCTCCAGCCATCCGAGGAGGTTCCTCTAGGGAGGAGAGGAAGGAGCAGAGGCTGGTGGTAGCCAGATGGGTTGTGTTTTAACCTTTTCACCCCAAAGTGCTGCCTGGGTGGTTGAGTTCTCCTTCTGTGTGGCTTGCAGGACTCTGTGACTTCTGCCAGCCCTCTGGCTACAAGAACTGAGGTCCATGCTCCTTCCTCTGTCTCCTGCTTGTGGGTGTTGGCATAGTCTGTCTCCTCTCCCCTTGGCTCGCACTGTCTCACTTCACCCCTGAGTCTCAGCTGGGGCTCTTCCCCTGAGAATGCCTCTCGTGACTCTCCAGGCTGACTGGGCACCTTGTCTGCAAACCTTCAGTATCATCACGTTCAGCTGACATTTCTTAGCTATTCCATCCTGGGAAACTGACAAGACTGCCTCAGTTTCCCCTTTCAATATTCCTCCCCGGTGGTGACTGGGCCACTCGAAGATGAGGAGGAAACACTTATTTGCACTCTCAGTGCACCTAACAAGGGCTGGACTTTTTGCAGGACTCTGTGACAGTCCAGCTAAGAAGAGAGGAAACTGAGGCTTTGAAGAGATGATACTGTTTGCTCTGCAGGAAGCTGAGCCAGGATTGAATGCGGGCCTTGCTGCCTGACCTCTGCTCTTTTCATGTCACTGCAATGTATCTTGGAGACTGTGAAGTAACTATGTTAGAGCCCCTGCCTTCAAGGGTGGACACAAGGAAAAAGAATTTAAAAAGTTGCATCCTTCCTTGGGATCATAGGACCACTCTCTGAGAACTTCTGGAGTCTTAAAGTTACTTGACAAGGTTGGAAAATAGATGGTGATACTTCTATCCATTGGTAAATGGTTCAGGGGACTTTTTTCTTTTGTCAGAGCTTCTAACATTTCTTGGAGACAGTGATCTCTGCTCAGTTCATGAACTCAAATGTCACTTCACTGAGCACCATAGAGGAGCCTGGTCCTCCCACCACACAATAGTGTGATAAAGGAAGAGACATAGTTGTCCTTGGTGGGAACATCTTTGCTCTTCTTTGTGGATTTGCCTTTCCCTTCACCAGCAGCAAAGCATTTTTGAATCGAAGAGCTCTCCCTCCTTGGGCATGCATGCTTATTCTGATGAAAAGACTACCTGTTAGCATTTCTCTATTGTGATTTCTCTGTGTGATAATCACGACTGTCCTCTATTGAGCTACTGCTCACACCACACATGATAGTTGCACACTCTCCAAAACATACAGTGTGCTGCATTGTGTCATCTTCAGGACATTGTGCCCCTGTCCTCAGCTCGAGTCCGTGTATGTGACCTTGTTTGGCAAAGTGTCTTTTGCAGATGTACCTAAGTTGAAACTCTCAAGTTGAGAAATCTTGGGCTTTTTGGATGGGGCCTAAGACCTATGACCAGTGAGTGTCCTTGGAAGGAGAGGAAGGGCAAAGGGGAGAAGGCAAGGTGGAGGGAGACTGGATGAAATTGTGCAAGCTGAGGGGCCCTTAAGTTGCTAACAGAATC